GGAAGTTTGTTGTTGTAGGTGTGCAAGGGTATTTGTGGGAGCTGTGTGAGGATTAGCGATAAGGGAGGACCGGGACAGCTGCAGACGCGCGATCAACCGGTCTATTTGGTCGATAGGTAGGGTGGTTACCAAATCCTCGACGAAACTGTCGGTAGCGACGTCCATCTTAGGAGTGGTATTGGTGGTTTCAGGTATATGGATTGTGGGAATAGAATAAGAAGTAGGTGTAGGTAGAGTGTAGTTATTATTGGGTGAAGCAGGAAGTGGTGAAATGGGATTTTGGTATGTACGTTGTGTTGGCAGTGGTGGATAATCAAGAGAGTGTTCAGGTGCGGCGTCATTAATGCTGTTATTAGATAATAGTGATTGATTTTGTATGGGAGGAGGGTCAGGAAGTTCTGCAGGACGCGTTTTTGACCTGTTGGAACGGGTCGAACGTGGCATTACGATGTGGAAAGCTAGGCGTGCACCTAGAAGACACCCTTTTTCCTATACGCTGTGCAATGTATAGGATGGCGGGTCGCCGGACTATACTAACTGTAAAGTGAGCTGTCGGTCCCTCGATGCACTTCCTATGTGTAATAACTTGTTTTTGTACGTTTACTATTTGGAATTCTCAACACAATTCTCTACAGCTACCAATTAGAATTAGTAACTATAGGAAAAAGCACTGGAGTCAGTTCGCGACTCAGGTGCAGAATATAACACTAGGCCAGCTAGTCAACACGCAATTAGTAACCCAGTAAAACCGGCTTACAGCGTTCGTAGGTGGCCTTTCTTACGGAAACCACCCACTATGCTAACACCAGGTACTATAGATAAAGTCACGTTCAGATGGCAGTGTACGGATATAGGATAACAGCGTTGCCAATTCTACTGCCATTGTAAGTTTTGCTACTTTTGTAAAATAAGCAGGGCCAAACTCACGGTAAACTAAGATATGTTTAGGTAAGCTAAAGTTTTTAATAGAAAATTCGTGAATGAAATAAATGGTAATAATTCCAAAAATGCTTTTATACATAATACCGCAGTTAATAGGGAAAAAAATATGAAAAATATTCTACAGGTTTTTTAATGTTCTAAACGGTAGATAAGGGATAACTGATGATAATTCCTTGAAGAATTACAGCCAATTTTGCTTTGTTTATTTTTTAAAGAAAGATGAAGTTTGGAAAAAATCATTTTTTGCCTATTTTGTTCCTCGTGCATTTTAGAGAAAAATGTTTCAAATAAATGTTGCAGATCTTAAAAAGTTTTCAATTTTTTAGTTTGTAAATTAAAATACATAAACAAATGACTGAGATAATTGCAAAAAAACCCTAATTGAGGCCCCTAGAACACAAGGGTGTAAGTGCAGTTGCTTATCACTTAGCAACTGATATCTAACAACAGGCACGTACTTTTGGCTTCAAACTTTCTACATTAACAACAATAACACCATCAAAAATTACATGTCATTGAAAATATGCTGAAAACTGAAAAAGTGCTACCTAGGTTTTTAAATTTATATCGAACTTTAAACAAAGATTTTTCAAAACTTTGTTTTTGGCACTTACACCCCTTGTGTTCTAGGGGCCTCAATTGTGCACTAATTTATTAAATGTTCATAACTTTTTGCATAATGACGTCTAATATAACTACTTGAAATTATGTCGATTAATGAGTTATTTAAGTGTGCTACATTTCAACCAGATCAACTAAATATTTTATTACCTTTACTGAGAAAAGAATACCCCGAAAAACAATTTCCAATCATCTTCATTTTCATAATCTAGTTCATCTTCAGAGTCATCGTTTAATGAAATTCTAATAGGTTCAATGTCATCTTGAATGTTGTCTACTGTCCAAAAATTATTCTCCAATTTTATAACATGGTTAACGTAATTTTTCCAATGTCCATTGTTCTGTACTTTATCATAACCTTCATAAATCAATGTTTTAACGTCGTTTTGTTTGAAACTTGAATTCTTAGAGGACACGTACCGTTTCACTTCACTCAACACCATTTCTATTGGGTTCAGTTCACAGTGATAAGGCGGAAGTCTTAAGATATGTACATCTACGCGGCATTGTTCGTCACTGTGATTCCTGTATTTTTCGCCAATACAATCAATTTTGTATTTGTCATAAATATTTTTTAATACATTAGCAGTTTCCAGAAGTTCATTTTTTAAGTAATCTTCTTCAAAATAAATGTCCTTTTCATAGAGCCACTCCTTAATTTGACGTTTCACCCAATATTGTTTGGGAAAATTTAATTCCTAGAGTGATAAGATGCATTGTCCAAGATAATGACATTCTTTTTATTTTTTGGGAGATTCGGTATTAACATCTCTTCAAACCATTTTTCAAATAGATCTCCGTCCATCTCTTCATGGTAATCTTCAGCACCTTTTTTGGCAAGAAAAGTGATGTCAGCACCTTCAACAAATCCGTCTTTGTTTCCTGCATGGACTAAAACAAATCTTGGTCCTTTTCCGGTCGGAGTTTTTAAACCTGTGGTAAGTCCATTTACGAAAGCCTATCGGCAGTTTTTTATTGTTGTATCTTGCCATACTTGCCCATTGGTTATTCCAGTATTAACCCATGATTCGTCCATATAAATGATATTGGGTCCTTCGTTCCTCAGTTTCTTTATTTCCCGGAGATAGTGACGCCTCCAAGCGACTATTTCTTGTTTTTCTATTAATATTGAATTTCTACCTTGTTTGCCATATATAAAACCCATGTCGTGCAATAGTCTTCTCAACGTACTTTAGGAAAAATTCGGAAGATGCTCCATTTGCTTAATTTTTTCTAGTACTACGTCAAGGGTTGGAGGAATATTGTCCATAAAAAAACCGTGCACTACTTGTCTTATTCTAGACCGAGTTGCTTCATCATATCTATTCTCACGACTTTTCAAATAACCGGTTCTTTTTTTTCTTATAGGAGTTAAGAGTGGACCATTTTTACTTTCACTTCTATATCGGAATATCGTTCGCTCAGAGACTCCAGTCATAGCAGAAACTTCCCGCACTATTGTTGATACACTTTTATCATTATTACTGTTTGATAAATAGTTAAAAACATTTAACACTATTTTTTTGCATTCACTATTTAACAAATTACCGTTTTTGAATTTTATTACACTCGCGGCCATTTTGACACTGACACGACACAAACGTCTGATATCAACTGAAAATTCTTTTAATGACTCTCAAGTATTTACCTGAATTTATAATTGCTGGCATTAGACAATAATTTTGAATTTATAAATAGGTATATTTTTTTAATTCTAAATTATTTTTTAATGTCTATAACTGTAAATGCAGGTAGAGAAAGTGTGTCATTAAAAGGACATTAAGATCAAAAACGGATTATACAAATAATTATTTGATTTCCACGAATTGTAAACAATTTTGAACAGAAGATATAATTCCGAAAAGACCAGATTTCCGAAATATAACTTTCTATTTTTAAAATACCAACAGAAAAATTATATAATTAAAAAAATGTAGTATTTTTCCGTTTCACATTCATAAATATTTCCGAAATTATAATTCTTTTATAGGAGCCGGCCCATAACGTACGATTGTAGGTACGATTAAAAACTGACAACAATGTAGTTATTTCTGGCACATAGAAAGTACAGGCCTATCTCTGTAACGCTGCCATCTGAATGTGAATTTATCTATAGTTTAGTTTCTTGCAGTGCTACGATATCTAATTCGAGTCTGTTTGCAAACTCGTCCAGAAGATGGGTTTTAGTGTATAATCCGCCTGAGTTCCAAGACCCAATGCGAAGATCCGTTGACGGGTGTACTAACATTGTCTTCCTATGTTACTTATTGTTGCCATTACGTGGGTTAGTTGTTCCAGCATGCTGGTAAACTGCGAGAATTTTTGGTTCATTTCCGCGTTAAATTTCGCAATCATTTCAGCGGCTTTGTTCGTGCTTTTATTGTTACTTACGGGACCTTTTGCGGCTTGCGCGTAGCTGACTCCGTTAGTTGTGGGGTTGCTGTTGACGGGCCTTCCTCTCGGTGTGGGTGTTGGGGTTGGCTTTTTTTTGGGAGCTTTAGGGCATCCCCTGTAGTTGGCAGTGTGCTCGCCTTCACAGTTTGCACACTTTGGTTTGGACTCTCTTGTTAGTCCGCAGTCCTCGCTGAGGTGGTTTCCGCTGCACTTCACGCATTTAGTCCCGCAGTGGCATGCTTTTGAACTATGGAAGTATCCCTGGCAGTTAAAGCACTGGATTACTTCGCGACGGTTTTTAATTTCATCTTCTACACGAATTTTCATGTAGCAGAGGTTAGTAAGTTGTTTAATTTTGCCGTCATGGTCCTCGTTAATGGTAACCAGGAACATGGGAAGCGGCTTGTTTCCTTCTTTCTTGGAGATCATGTTGATGACCTTCGTGGCTTCGACTCCCTTGTCGTTGAGCTCATTAAGTATTTTATTGGTGTCTGTACCGGCGTCCAATCCCCTGATGATGACTCTTTTAAGTCTCTCACCGTCGATTGGGTACGCCACAAACTCCACTTTTGGTGTATGTTTTTCTAAAATCTTAATGATGCCCAGATAGTCTTCTCTAGTTTTAGTTTGAATAACTATTGACCTGCCAGACCTAGCAAATTTGTTGACAGACATTAATTTCTGTTCCGCTGCTTTCTGTAATATCTTTTGATGCTCGCTAACGGTTTTGAGGATGATTGCCGGTGGTTTTGGCAATACTTTCGTCGTTGTCGGCGCCGTTTTTTGAGCTTCCGATACTTCATTTGTCACGGCCTTGCTGGTGCTTGGCTGAGGTTCGTTGGTTTCTTTTTCTATTCTCTTCGCTTGTCTGCTTTTTATGGTTCGGTCCATTTCTTTTTCTTGGCGTTTTTGGATGATTTCAGTTTGTCTTTCAACAACACTGATTTTCTTGACTTGTTGGGTTTGCTGCCTCTTGGCTTTTCGGGGTGTAAACCTTTGCCATTCGCTGCCGTCGTCGTTGTCGCCGGTGTCCGTTTGTTCACCTTCGTCGCCACTTATGTGGTTGTAGGCTGCGAGGACTTCTTCTTCTGACTTCTTTTTGGGTTTTCCTGGGTTTATTATTTTTGTCTTCTCTGTTGACTTGATTATTTCTTTTTTTGTCTTCTCTGTGGTCTTGGTTTGTTCTTTTTTTGGTTTTTCTGCGGTCTTGATCGGATTTTTTTCTGATTCGTGGTTTTGTTTGTTGGCACCTGGCTGCCTCGGATTCTTGGTATTTTATTTCGGTTAGTCTCACTAGTTGTGCGACTAACTTACGGTTTTCTTCGTCTTTTTGCTTTATTTCAACTCTTAACTCCTTCAGTTGTTCCATCAGGACAGCATGCGTTTCCTGCATTTCTTCAATTTTTCTGACTAGCATTTGTATCTGCTGGTCGTGGGTGTAGCTGTTGTCGTCTCTGATTTTCTTAGTCTCAGTGACTGGGCTCTGTCCGGGGCTGGGACACGGTCTTTTCGCGCCTTCTCTTCTGGGCGTCGTCTCCTCGGGTTTGTTGAACATCTGCCTGATGGCATTAAAATTTCGCGCGGGAATATTATTTTCAATATCTGAAGTGTCCGACAGATGGTCGCTCACTTCGCTTAAGTACGAGGCGTCCTCGTCATGCGCAGAGGGGATTGACGTTCCCGCGTACATCTCGGATTTCTCCGAAATGGCGGGAGACAGCGGGGCAATGGATTTTGAGACCGGAGTAGTAAATGTACAGATGGACTGTGTTCTGAAAAAGACAAATCATTTTCTTACAGACTAGACTGTCTTGAAAGTACAGATGAACTGTGTTCTGAAAAAGACAAATCATTTTCTTACAGACTAGACTATGTCTTGGAAAAGACAAGTCTATTTTCTTACATATACAAATAATTATCAGTTTAGTATGTGCACTAGCACCGAAGAAGTAAATAAAAACACATTTGCAGTAGACAAAACAAACCTCAGACTCTAAGGTAAAAGTTGGAGGCAGAGCCCCGCAAAGCAGCTCCCTAGAGTTTAGGGCTCTAGGGGAGACTGTGGTAGAACTGGAAGTGTCTTTGGCTTCGAATTCATCTAATATTTATACATAATATTTCACAAGATTTCCAAGCCAAATGACAAATAGGAAATTAGAAAAAGGTAAAGTGGGCGGGGCGATGTGACTTCAGCATTTCTCCCGAGGTGGCTGGTTTTTAGTAAGATGTTGAATGATTCTATTGCCATATTGATTTATTCCCGAATTTCTTTTGTAACAATGGGCCCACATTTTGATTCTCTCGTCATTCACATAGATAATTCGAAAGAAAATGTAAAAAGTATTTTTGAAGTGTGTATATTTTAGGCAATTCCTAGCTGAGCGCTTTCGGCTTTACAAAGCCATCATCAGAGCTATGCTACAATAAAATGTTCTTATAAGTACTAATTGGTAAAGATTATAATTTTAACTTACGTCAATTTTTTTAAATACCACTACAAAGGAGAGATCTCATTTCCTTATATTTCCAAATTATGATTTTTGTTGCAATTCTTAGAACATATAAAAAAAAAACATATAAAAAACCGACACTGGACTTCACAAACACGTTAACAAAAATTGAAAAAAATTTTTTGTCATGGTGCGGGTGTAAGAACCCGACCATTGTTTGATCTGAGGAGGTAGGCAGAATAGAACTAATGAAATCAAATGTCGGTCCTTTTAAACGATTTTTCAAAAGTGACAGTTGACAAATGTCATATATAGGAGAAGAAGAGGAGGAAGCATTCTTTTTGATAGTATCAAAAAGAATGCTTCCTCCTCTTCTTCTTTGCTTACACTAGAATTTTCAATATTCAGAAAACCTACTCAAACTGACCATATGATACCAACATCCTCAAATCACCCTTTTCAACACAAGATGGCAGCTATTCAATGTTATGTCCACAGACTTCTTAATATCCCTATGTCTCAAGAAAATTACAATAAAGAAATTTCCATCATTAAACAGATAGCAAACAACAATGGTTTTCCTTCTACTACTGTTGATAAAGTCATTAGAAAATCTATACTCAAAAAGAGACTAAACCTAGCTTTTAATGTTGATAAAAAATCCAACACTACTTCCATATATAGATCCTTAACTTACCTAGGACCAATTTCAGAAAAAATTTCAAGAGTACTTGTTAATAAAATCAGTGACTTAAACATCTCCTTTAAAACCAAATATAACATCAAGTCCATCTTCAGCAAGACCAAAGACAAAGTTGAAAAACTAAACAGAAGTGGTATTTACAAGCTGTCCTGTGGTGACTGTAATATGACTTATGTAGGTAGAACAATGAGAACTCTGAATCAAAGAATCAAAGAACACCTCAATAACCCAGAAAAATCAAACTTTGGATATCACATTAAATTTAATAATCATTCCTTTTCTCCTTCTGAAAACAGTAAAATTTTACACAACATTAGCAATAAAAACTTTAGACTCATGAATCTCTTGGAAGATCTTGAGATATCCAAAGAAATGAAACAAAACCCTGATTGTTGCTTAAACACACAAATCAACCTCAATTGCAATTATAAACCTCTTTTTAAATTATTATGGGAGACTTTAGAGGAAGAAGGGTGACCTCATGCAATCTTATTATATATTTTTTCATACTTTTATATTTTTGAACAAATTTTAAACTTTATTAGAAATTTACAACATTTTGTAATTCATTTGACAGTTATTCTTAATTGAAACATGAAAATACATTCTTAAAAAATTTCTTATGCAAATTTCTTAAAAATTTCTATCAAGAGATACAATTCTCAATACACTTAAGTATCAGATAACATAACATTACTTAATACCATGTTTTTTCTTTATATTGTTGTTGAACAATTTGAGCCCTTGTTTCTTAAAGATGGCTGTCAGATTGAACATACATTGACCTTGAGCAATGGCTTGAGTGAATTTAAAAACTAATGTCATTCTGTATGATGTGATGAACACATAAAATTTAATTTAAACACTTAATTTTTAGAAAGTCTTTGATGACTATTAGTAATACCAAACATTAAATAATTTTGTAAGAATTTAAAAAAACAATCTCTATTTCCTATATATGACATTTGTCAACTGTCACTTTTGAAAAATCGTTTAAAAGGACCGACATTTGATTTCATTAGTTCTATTCTGCCTACCTCCTCAGATCAAACAATGGTCGGGTTCTTACACCCGCACCATGACAAAAAATTTTTTTCAATTTTTTTTAACGTGTTTGTGAAGTCCAGTGTCGGTTTTTTATATGTTTTTTTTTATATGTTCTAAGAATTGCAACAAAAATCATAATTTGGAAATATAAGGAAATGAGATCTCTCCTTTGTAGTGGTATTTAAAAAATTGACGTAAGTTAAAATTATAATCTTTACCAATTAGTACTTATAAGAACATTTTATTGTAGCATAGCTCTGATGATGGCTTTGTAAAGCCGAAAGCGCTCAGCTAGGAATTGCCTAAAATATACACACTTCAAAAATACTTTTTACATTTTCTTTCGACTTGTCATAAGTGTGTACAAAAAATATCAGTCTTTACATAGATAATTGTTAGCGTTTGGTCTTTCAGTGTATATAATCCATTTCTACATTTTGAAGTCCACTAGATCGTTTATTGTGTCTAATAATTTTTCGATTGTGTGTCGTGTTAGCGGAATACGATTTAATAAAATAAATAATATTCGCTTCACGCTCTGCACTAGGGTATTCGTGTGTAGTGTACGAAATACCCTAGGCACTTATCCAATTCAGATTCGAATGCAAATGTACAGATGTACAGTCTGTGTTCTGAAAAAGACAAATCATTTTCTTACAGACTAGACTATGTCTTGGAAAAGACAAGTCTATTTTCTTACATATACAAATAATTATCAGTTTAGTATGTGCACTAGCACCGAAGAAGTAAATAAAACACAACATTTGCAGTAGACAAAACAAACCTCAGACTCTAAGGTAAAAGTTGGAGGCAGAGCCCCGCAAAGCAGCTCCCTAGAGTTTAGGGCTCTAGGGGAGACTGTGGTAGAACTGGAAGTGTCTTTGGCTTGCAATTCATTGTTGCGTTGGTTTTTTTTCTTTGGTTTGGTGATGCTTCTTTTGTTGGGTTTTGTCATCCTGTTATAGGCTTTTGCCTCTTCAGGATGTGGTTTTTGTCTTTTTGGTTTTAGCTTCTGGTTTTTCTTTCTTCGGTGATCCACTGGTGGGGTTTAGCCAGGACAATCAGTGGAGAAAGGCTGTGGTCGGTTCTTTTCAGAATTTGTTTTCTAAAATAATTAGTGAATTAGTGTTTGTTAAATTAGTATATCTACAAAAATGAGATATTAATATATGTATAAATACATGCATTAATATGTTAAACGCGGCGCGAGAGGGCAGCTGCGGCTGTATCCTCAAAATAGACAGGTATCATTTGCAAGTGGGATCGGGAAACCGCAGAAAACCGATCCCCCCCTGTCTAGGCAAGCTCGAAGTGAGCAATTTAGCTAGGAATGCGACGGAAATAGAGGGGAGTTGCCTCCTGTATATCAATGTATTCATCAGGGAGTTCGTTACTGGCGAGTTCCAGTAGAATTGCGGGGAGGTGTGGGATTTTTGGTTTAGGATGTCTGGTGAATACATTGCCATGGGTAGAGCAGACAGTTTTTAGGATGCGTTGAGCTCTGAGGTTTTGGCTCCGGATAGTGCGTGTAGTATAACTTCTGCTCAGAGAGTGTAGTCTCTCATTTAGGGGCTGGATATTAGATAATTGATGAATGAGGGCTGAAGGGTAGTCGTTGCGTCTGCCATTCACTCTACGCAGAATCCTCCTCTCTAGACTTAACAAGTTTTCTTTGACAGATTTTGGCATTGTAGCGTAAATATTGGCTCTATATTCAAAAATAGGTCTAATAAAAGTTTTATAAGTGAAAATTAATGTTCTAGAGTGTGTAGCCCCGAAATTACATCTCAAGCTATTGAGGAGACCCAGTCTGCTCCTGGCCTTAGCACAGGCTGTGTTCATATCGGCCCTCCAGCTCAGAGTTCGTGTGAACTTCACGCCGAGGTATTCGATCTGATCACGGAGTTGGAGTAGGTCTCCCCAGAGCGTGAGATAGTTTATTTCGTTAAAAGAGGCCGCACGTACACTGTGTCTAGGGTGTCTAAAGAGAATCATTTGAGTTTTGTTCGGATTCAGGGACACTCTCCATCTCCTGCACCAGTTTTCAACTAGTCTAAGGTGATTTTGAGCGTACCTGAGAACAGAATCAACGTTCGTCGCTGTAGTTACTAGAGCAGTATCATCTGCGTAGAGTAGAGTGGTGGTTTTGTTTCGTATGGTATTTGGTATGTCGCTGTTGTATATTGTGTAAAGTATGGGGGCCAGTACTGAGCCTTGTGGTACTCCAGCTGTTGGAGTAAAAGAATCAGAGAAATAACCATGCTCTTTTACCCTGACCAGACGTTCAGAGACATATGATTGGATTAGTCTGACGAATGAAATTGGTAGTCCAATGTTCAGTAGTTTCTTGATCAGTCCCACATGCCAGACTTGATCAAAGGCTTTTTGAACATCGAGAAAAATACCTAGTGCAAGTTTGCCGTCGTTCAGACTTTGAGAAATGTGTGTGACAATTTCTGTCAATGCCGTATTTGTAGAGCACCCTTCTCT